TTATCTGTGCTTTTTGTTTTTCTTTCCTGCTGGGAGTGGTCACAGACCAGAAGCTCCCAATGATTTAAACTAAACAGAAAAAAAGGCAAATTAGGTCGTTGCATTGAATGTGCCCTGCATGGTATAAAAATAGAGCTCTGGTGAACTGCAGCGGGTTTGATGCCGTGTCGACGCGGTGAGAAAGCGTTTTGGGCTGAAGACCTGAGTAGTGTTGGCAGTCATCGACGACGACGGAAACATCTTCATCTTTGGTCTGGAAAGTTTACTCGAATGAGGTTCTGAGATAAGGCCGCTGTGGGTCATCAGCTCCAGCTGGGATCGTATTGGGCCCAGCCTGGAGGCGGGGCTAAGTAGATCCTCCGCCCCCGGGATGAGAAACTGACGATCCCTCTGTATCCCGTCCTCGGCACGCCGGACTTCAAGTCGTCCATGATCCCCAGGTTCCTGGCCAACATTTTGAAACTGTCCTTAGTGGAGTACTGAAGGCGGAACGGACCGGTTCCCTTCAGCTGACCCTGCTTCACAGCTTCGTACGTGACCACAGGAGCAGCGTACACCTCCTTCTCAAAGTTCTCCCTGTAGGCCTCCTCCTTCAGGTAACCCAGGTCCAGTTTGGTAAAAGGCACGAACTTGGAGTTGAGCTTGATGTAGCGCAGGTACTTGTCGTAGAACTGACCCAGGCTCACGCCCTGCCGGCCGAACGTCAACGTCCGGGAGATCTCTGGCCGGACGCAGGCTCGGCCCCGCCGCTGCTCCGGCTGTCGCATCCAGTCGTCCCAGAACGAAGCGGGCCACTTCGGCTCCAGCTCCTCCCACAGCTCCCTGAGGAGCATCCACCCCAGGCCGGGAAAGAAGTCCGTCCGGTAGAGCAGATCCGCCCTGCCAGGATCCACGTAGCCGTCCCGCCCGTTGTCGTTCCAGGCTGACACGCACCACAGACTGGGGTCGGATTTCAGAACCGGCAGCAGGGCCTGGAAATACTCAAAGAAGTCTGGAGCCACCTGGAGGTGAAAACAAAGAGATTTAAAAAGCTTATTGTGGTTCTGGTTGGATTCAGAATGAGGAAAGTGCTTAAACAGAGCTATACAACTGGCGGCCCGTGGGCCACTTCCGGCCCACAGGTGACTTCAGTCCGGCACCAATGATTTCATAAAAACATTATATGTTTTTTTTTTTGTTTTTTTTTTTTGTTTTTTTTTTTTTTGGGGGGCGGGGGGGGGTGTGTCTGGGTTTGGTTTATTGCATTTATGATTCAATGCAATAAAATAAACTTAAAAGGTAACAGATCATTGTAATACTTGGTTTATTTACATGTCATGACTTTAACTGCTGGATGTCCGGCCCCTGAGCTGCCTTTCAGAAACTGTGCAAACAAAACAGCCCC